AGCAGCAGCAGCAGCAGCAGCAGCAGCAGCAGCAGGAAGACGATAAGGAAGCACAAGCACTTGAGAGTCTCCTTCTTTGCTGCGAATTCGTGCGGGGTAAAGCCATCTGTCTCCTCGGCAGTGCAGCAGATCCAAGCACCGGCAGAGCTGCTGCAGCAGCTGCAGCAGCAGCAGGACGGGGTGCTGCTGCTGCAGCAGCAGCAGCAGATCCTGTCGAAGTGCTGTCGAGGCTGCTGCAGCAGCACCACTTTCCAAGGGTTGCGATCCTCAGTGAAGGATTTGAAGGTAGGATAAACTCTACAGACACCCCGCTTGCTGCTGCTGCTGCTGCTGCTGCAGTGACACGTGCTGCTGCTGCTACAACAGCAGCAGCAGCAGGCCGGTCTTACTGAGAAGTGTACGAAGAGCGACAGCCGCAGTCTGCCCTCCCAGCACCCGTTTCTGCTGTTGCTACTACTGCTACTGCTGCTACTGCTGCTGCTGCTGCTGCTGCTGCAGGTCTGTGCCGGGTGTTCGAGGCTAAGCGTCTATCTGTTCACTTGTTAGCTGAGGATCGGAGAATAGAGGAGGGAAAGAGAGCAGCAAATGCAGCCTCTGCGATTCGCTGCTGGAGAGACAAGGCTAAGGAAGCAGCAGCAAAACTCTTGTCTTCGTCTGCTGAGCACAGACACCAACTCAGCTCTACTCTGTAAGGCATCCAAGCTGCTGCTGCTGCTGCTGCTGCTGCTTGTGCTGCTGCTGTCGCTCGCAGTTGCTGTGGTTGTTGTTGCTGCTGCTGCTGCTGCTGCTTCTGAAGCTTCGTTGAGCGGATGTTGCCGCTGCAACCGCCGTCTTCTTTTCCTCAATGCAAACTGACATCTTGCTGCTGTTGCTGCTGCTGCTTCTGTTGCTGCTGCTGCTGTTGCTGCTGCTGCGCAGGCAAGCAGCAATGCAGACCACCCGCGGCGTCTCGCGTGACTTTGGAAGCAGCATCCGGGGTGCCTTCAACACTGCAGCAGCAGCAGCAGCAGCAGCAGCAGCAGGGAGCTCCAAGGGCAAAGTACCCGAGCCTGCATTCGGCCCCGACGGGCGTCCCACCGAGCAGTACCAGC